ATATATATATGAAATAAACGGTTTTTAAACTGTGATGCCAAAATGTTTATATTATATATGCGCGTTTTATGATCGAAATTTCAATGCAGCACTTAAAATTTTTTTTTTTTTTGTGAGCTGGCCAAACGGAATATCTATTTTACAGAGTAATGACGTATTCTTCCTATATACCAGATACCGATATGGTATGTGTATGTTATCGATAAAAAGGAACAAATAAATACAGATACTGACAAGACGCTATGAAAAGACACTTAAAATATACTTGTTTGTTTTCATTCCTCACACAATGCATATAAAACAAAATCTAGGTAGACCTAAATGTATTTATTTAGTTATTATTATTATGTCATACTATCACAATACAATATTTATATATGAAATACGCTTAAAAATATGTATAAAGAACATAAAGTACACTTTCACAAATTTAATAGTTGTGACTCGAGTCGCAATTATTACGGCGACGAAAAATTATTATGGATCACAAAGGATTTTGCACGATTTTTATGGATTTTTATGAGATCCCGGTCAAATTGACTGAAATTTGGATATGATGTAGATTTTGATTCATTGATCAAAAGTCTCAATGGTCACATCAGGCTAAATAGTCAAAAGTTTTGGAATTACGACGGTTCAAATATCTAAAATTTATCTACCTTTGTACTTGTGGGTGGATGTGTATGCATAAATAAAAGTGTAAATAAAGATTCTTAAAGGGAATAACACATTAAATCTTAAATGCCTACCGCCTACCGCCTGACAATGGAGATCAATTTTGGATATTTGAACTGTCATAATTCCAAAACTTTTGATTAGTTGACTTGATGACCACTGAGACTTTTGATCAATGAATCAAAACCGACATGACATGAAAATTTCAATTTGTCGGGACTTCATCCGTGCAGGGTCCTTTATTTTCTATCAGACTAATTTTATAAAATATCTGCAAAATATATCTGTCCTTATCTTGTTGGCGAGTACCATTCATAAATTAAAATAACGTTCTAATATTCTTAGAAAACGGAATTCGCGATGATCGTTGAAGAATATGCTTACGTCATCATAACTCAATAATATCGTTTTTGATGTATCAATACAATATTCAATATGATAAAAAATACATGTAGATACATATCTATATTTACAATCCTACAGCGACACAGAAACGCATCACCATATCGTCGTAACGTCAGGATAACGTAAAGGATCTAAAAATCTTGATTCTCACTCTTTGATCTCGCGATAATGCGCGCATCGCGTCGACGTTTCGAGGAAATGCAACAAGTAATACGATTATCATTACAATATATAATTACAATGGTTGCTTTCTTCGTAAAATTCACAGCCAAGTGGAGCTTTCGACGGCTCGCTAGCTTTTTAAACAGCCTTATAGCTGAACTCGATACATGACTCTGACCTCTGCGAAATCTTGCAAATTTGCATACTGTTTCTCATACGCTCGAGATAAAAAATCAACAGAGTTGAAACAAAGTTAATATTAAAAGTGTTACTCGTAAAAAATCTTATCCAGTCTGTATATTCTATTGCTTTCAAGATCGATACGCGAGTTTGGCATCGTTCGTTATGCGAATGCGTGTAATATGGCACTCTGAGTCATATATATTTCGTAAGTCATATACTAAAACTAGCGCAGCCAGCTCTATTAATTAAGCTATTACTTAGAACATCTTTATCGGGAGACTTTGTCCAAAGATCGCGAAATTTATCAAACCAGAGGCACTTTCGGTGATCCGAGTAAGGGCGGCCCGTTATCGGATGTTTGATGTGGCACGAATTTATTTGCATTTTGCTCTGGCATGGGTTGCAACCATCTGACAGCTAAGCTCGCGATCATCAGCAAGACGATGAATCCACAGATTGCCACGACGATCGTCGCTGTCCGGAACCAGCTGTCACTTGCCTCATTTCCTGTTTGACTGTTTGGATGCAGTGGAGCTAAATATGCTCGCTGATCGCCAATTAATACTATAATGACATTGCCGATAAATAACAAATTAGAATTAGTGTTTGACGAACAAATAGTTATTTTCGAAAGTTTAGAAAATGTTTGTATTTAAAAAAAAAAAAAAAAAAAAAATTACGACACATGTTTTGTAAAGATTTGGAGGAATTAATTATGTGACAATACCTAGCGTTAAACGCGCTTAAAAATACGAATACACATTATGATAATCAATCATGTGATAAATATGACAAATAAGAATGATGAGAATATGATTAATAACACGCGAGATAAAGAGAAAAAGAGCACACTCGTCGTACCTCGTAGAGTTTTATTAAGTCTATTTCTCATCGCAGGATTGTCCACGTGATTACAGAGATCTTGGCCGCAACAAAGAAATCCTGCGGGACATTGAGGACTTTTGAAGCTCTCGTCAAAGCAACCGCTATGAACGTTGTGCTCCGCTCTTGAAAACGGCGTGTTTGCGTTTGATGGTAATTTTGTGAAACATCCCCTACCGCGACACATGTATCCCTGAGGAACGCATTCTGGTTGATTGCAGTAACATCTTACTTCTTCCACGTTGGAGGAATCTGCAACAAGAAAAGTCAGTTTGATAAACATCTTTGAACACTTTTAAAAATGAAAGTTAAATTGAAAATTTATAGATAAAACGCGAAAGAGCGATTTAGTCGTCGCGACTCTCGTCAGAGTTTGTTTATTCATAAGAAACAAGAACATCGAAAGGATCCAGACGACCCGAATTGTCCGCTTCATTTCTTCGAGTCTTCCGGGTATGCGTAAATCTTATTTATAGGATGGAATATATCTTTGTCGAAATCTCAAACGAATTCGCAGTTATACACGCGAATTAGAGTGGCCTCTCCGACGCGACTGCACGTTAATGAGGACCGTATGAAATAAATAAAAAGAAAAAAAAAGGAGAAAGGAAAGAGGAAAGAAGGGAGAGGAGTAAAGACATGCGGGGCACGTTTGTTACGATATTGCAAAGCCATCTTTATTCGCGAGCATGCTCGGTTTCGTTTGCCCAGTTTGCCTCAACCCCTGGTCCCGATCTACCATCTTGTCGAGTTCCCCTCGCGACCTCGCGTCTTTCCCCACCGGTTTCTTGCTAATAAGTCCGCAGCGATGCCTTGCCCGTCTCCGCTTCTCTTTTACTTTCTCTGTCGCTCTTTCTCTGCGAGCGAGCGTCGGCTCGCTCGCTCGCTCTCGCTCTCTCTCTCTCGCTCTCTCTCTCTCTCTCTCTCTCTCTCTCTCTCTCTCTCTCTCTCTCTCTCTCTCTCTCTCTCTCTCTCTCTCTCTCTCTCTCGATGCATTCTGCACTAAATAGAATGCGCGAGAAAAAAAATAGGATGACAACACTTGACAATTTCATCGTGTTCCATTGCAGCGATTATGTGTCGCAAATTAAAAAAATCGTATACATATAGCCTGAAAAGTAAAGAATGTCTTAGTTTCGCGTCAAACGATCAGAAATATTCTGACAGAAAAATCTTCCATTCACTCACTGGCTTTAGAATCATCTTATTAAAATAAATATGAGATACAACGTCTTTATATTTTAAATCTTAAATGCAATAACGAAAAATTCGCGAGGGTTGAATTTGTATCTCTCATTTAAAATAATTTTACAAAATACATATGTATGTAGATATGTGTACCGCGTAATATTTCGAGAAAATATTTTCCATTGTTTTGGAGAAACATATTTGTTTTTAAAATGTACATTTTAAAACGTATGACAAAAGCCGAATCGAGATTAAAAACAGTAGTCTTCCGCAAGGAGAATTCGAAAAAGTATTCGAGGGGACAGTCCCATACGCGTGTGCGCGTTTAAAATAAAAAGGGAAAGGGGGAGGGAGAGGGGAAAGCAGCGGGAGGTCGAGGGGCCTGACTAAAGAGAGATACGACCGACAAGGCTCTGAGGCCGGGGAAGAGCCGTCCGAAAACAAACAGAGTGCATCGCAGAGTCGTTCGTTATACGTCTACGGTATATTAATTATTCCCCGGTTCGGAGCCTCGGAGCGGCAAGTTACCCTCTCTCTCTTATCGTCTGCATTTCGTTCTTTTTTCGTTCCTTCGTTCTACTGGACCCCACCGGCGAGACTGATGCGCGTAATGACGATTAGCGAATATCGAATGTTTCCGATCCATTTCTGGATCGTAAAGTTTCAATTTTATTTCTGCTCAAAAATCAAGTGTCAGTTGGGGAATGTGTCACCCGTCTTTAAAAAAGAAAGAAGAAGGAGCTCCATTCCAAATATATGTAATTAAAAATACAGGTTAATATGTGAAATATGTTTATACAATTTTTCTTTGTGTTCCGTAAAAATCCGTTATTCTTCATTGAATTATTACAAGATAGCAAGATAGTACCTACGAGTCTCTCGTGACTCGTAGAGAAGATCGTTAAGTACTCGATAATATTCGAATATAAGTGCGTATGTAAGAAAATATGAATATAAGTATGTATGCGAGAAAAATGATTTGTGTGGAAAATAAAGAGGCATTTCGGGAGGATTAAACTGGCGATAATCGAAAATGAAAAAGCGCGATTAGACGATAACTCACTTTCGAACGTACGTATGTACATACATACGATATTACAAGAGCGACGACCTATGTACACGTACATATGCGGTATGCGGTATATGTATGCGGTATGATGGTAAGTAGTAGGTAGTAGGTAATATCTAAAGCTGCGTCAGTCTCGATCAGCGTCTGCCGCGCAATGATGAGGCTAACGAGTCTCTTCAAGTCTCATGAGTTACACTCGTGTAGACAACGTCTGCGCGATGAGAACGTTGCGCAATGAAAATGTCGTCTTCCATTGCGAATTACTCTGTATCGCGAATTCTGTACTTAACCAAATACGCTACACGCGCTTAATAAACGTGCTTTTCTAATTAGCGCTATCGAGTACGAGTCCGCCTAACGCCTAATTAGCATGAGAGCGAAAATAAATCGCGTCTCTATTTCTTTTTTGCGACAATAACGAAAGAATTGAGAATTTATACGGTATAATGATTTCGAAATATTCAACTTAAATCCCTTGTCTCACAACTAATCGGATTATTATTAGATATCGATACATCCGCTTGTTCGTTCCTACTGCGTATTCGATTGATTTGAATTATAAACGGTACTACACAAATTTGTAAGAATATAAAAACTTTTAGTATACTATACTAGTTTAGTATACTATCTATCTTTGGAAATCAACAAGAATATCCAAGTAATGATGAAAATTATTATTAATATTTTCAATTTGTGGATCGCAAAAATGGAAAAACGTAAGATAACGATCGGAGTAAGATAAGATCGCGATCCGACGAAATAGTATGACGATGTGGCGGTGTGGTGGCGGCGAGACACCTGTTTGCTCTTACGAACGGAAGGGATACAAACTCGCGGAGTTATGCGAAAAGGAAAAAGGGACGGCCGACTCATCGGCGAGGCAAAAGACCGAAGGAGTGGTCAAAAGAGCGCTGCTGATGAAGAGGCCGAAGAGGACCGGTCTCTGTCTGTTCGAGAGGAAAGCTCACCCGGCGATTCGTGAGAAACTTCCTTCGAGTGAGGTGCCCCCCCCCCCGCCACCTCCTCCCTCTCCCCACAGTCTCGATGGAATTCACCTACAATCATCGATAAATATGATACATTTAAAATAGAATTAAAAATAAAATTTGAAAATATTCAATGTTTGGGACGTAATTGTCTGCATGGAAAACGGACCGAGTTTCTTTCCTTACTCGATGCATATTGGTTGACAAAGTTACCTATCATCAAAGTTACTTATCATCTTTAAAATTAAAGATAATAAGATTTTCACAAGAAGTGCTTTCGTCGCGCCTACAATATCTATAAATATCTATAAGCTACGGGAATTATTTCGAGAGTAACCGTCTAAAATTCCTCCGTGAAACGCATATCCGTTTAAAAAAGAAACAGATCGGGTATTTAACAACCTCGAGTATTTTCGCTATGCGTTAAACGAACCTTCCCTCGGGCAAGGGACGAGGGACGAGGGACGAGGGGCGTGGGACAATCCGTTTGATCCTACTCGTTCGGCTTTCGGCTAATTTTCGTTTCACAAAGGTACAGTATCGAAGATGGTATTTGCGTTGGGACTTGTAACTATCGAGCCGAGCTCTATTCGGCCATTATGAAGAAAAGGGAGACTCTCTTAAGAGGATTCGGGAGGAAGCGAGCGCTGGACGCTGCCGGATGGTTACAGCGGGATGGCAATTAGCAAGAACAATGGAGAGCCGGAGTCCTCGTTCTGGGAAGTAGGCGGAGGGTCTCACTCCGGGGGCCCTGCCATTCCGTAGACCCAGGGGCCAGGTATCAACGTACCTAAGGCGCTCCGGCCGAACTGTAGTATATACGGCCGGCGTAAGTATATACACGATCTTGGCACGGCGTTTCGGCGCTAGAAGATAGGCTCTTGATGTTCCCGAGGCCCAGGATCCACGGCAACCTGGTGATTAGCCCTACTTAACTCGGATATGCGGACGCGACGCGAGCGGCCCCATCGGCAAGTAAAAAGCATCCTCATCAATTATATGCAATTGCCAAATTGCTCCAAATTACACGCGTTGCTTCTCGAAGAAGAACGGCGGAGCCCTTTATATATAATAATTTTCATATTTTTTGCAAGATCAACTTGCGACCATCTTTGATTATCATTCGCCGAACGCGCCCACGATTAACTCGAGATTCCAACTAATTATACTTCAAATTTTAACTCACCTCGAGTTGCTTACACTTAAACGAAAATACCGAATGGAAAGAGGGTTCACATTCCGTTGACAAATTCCCGATGGATTTATCCATATTCGAAATATTTTTATCGACAAAGTTTACGTTTAAGTTTAAGATTATGTGAACGGCAATTCTCAAAGAGCTCGTCAGTGATAGTACGTGTAAAAAATCAGAGTAACATGCATCTCATGATTATCACGCGAGACACTTATTCTTCAGTCACATTTGTTTTCCAATCGATCATATTTTGCGGTCATTATCTTATCGCGTATCGTAGTGAGATAATATAATTTTTCTTATTTTCTATTGTTTATTGTTGCGCGCGCGGAAGCAACACCGGTGAAAGTACACGCGTCATATCGCGCATAATAACCTCCCCCCCCCTTTAACGAAATAATGTCCCTTTGAGTCTTTGTTCTCGCGCTCGCAGTTTGCGTGCGCAGTTAGCGCGTGAATCACTGACGCATAACTCGATCGTTCCGAGACCAGCTGGCGCCTAACCGGTGCCAAATCACTGATTCTTAGACATAATTAGGCGCGAAACGAATTGTTGGCCGATGCGTCGCGATACACGCTCGGCAACGTACATTTCTCTTTTCTTGTCTTTTCTCTTTTCCCTCCCGACTCAAAGTGACGCGAAAGTATGGCGCGTAGCACCATAGCAAAGCTTTAGTAATTTCCTTTTAACGGTTTGCTTCGTAAATAAATAAATAAATAAATAAATAAATAAATAAATAAATAAATAAAATAAAACAGCCAAGGAGCAAAAATGGCAAAAATAACCCTATAACCCTAACTTCGAAATTAGCGA